TTTTCCGTGCGGTTCCACTTACGGACCATATGGAAACAAAAACGGGGGTCGTCCAGAAAAATCAATCATGTAGTAGTGTGATATTACTCCATTCGTTTTAAAATATAGTAACATGACATTATTAGACTAACCATAATACTAGTATTATTTTTTCTATTTTTTTGTTAGTACAGATATACATAGATCTTTGAAGATATACATGTGACCGGAAGAAATTAATATATTTTTTTCAAATATAAGAATAAAAGAAATAAATTAATAGTATCTGGAGTAGTATATATATTGACGGGCTGCTGGTCTCTGATTAATTTGTGCTTCCTTTCAGATTTTGATCCCAAACGTACGAGTCCAATCAAATTGCTCGAGATTAAACTAGTATAAGTATAGGACATGCTGATATCGACTACACACACATGACGAGAATACGAGATAGACCTCGATCGCACACAACAACTTGCTCAACAACGACAACACAGGTGCTAATCGCCGTTACCTTTCTAGATCAGCTCCAGATTATGTGTTGTAAGCATGTGGGGCTTAAAATCAGTGTATGATCGATCAAGTTTCTTCCAGGTCACATCATATCGCCCAACGACCAATGATAGCCTACGATTAAAAAGTACTTTGGCACTCACAATCAGCTCAAAAAATACTAAAAGCAAAAGTGTTTCGATCGATATGATCTCTTCTTCCCGTCAAGAACGTTTAACCTTGTACACAGCTTCAAATAGCTAAACAGCTTGCACCATACCCTTCCCATCGATTAGTAGAATCTTGGAACAGTGTCAGGTGTACCAGTATGTGTGTAGTGTGTGAAAAAGCCAAATAATAATTGATTGGGGACAGGAAGATCTAAATATGGATCTACTGATGTAGTATGTATATATTCAGAACCGATTAATCGTCTTGCAGAAACCTCGATCTGGACGGCCGATCGATCTGTCGTAGGTCACTGCCAAATTGTTGACAGCAGATGATGATCAGTGACGTACGCTCTCAGACGCCGATGAACTATTGATCGGAATCGCAACACAGTGGACGATCAGAGAGGGAACAAATCGACACAGCAGTGTCACTGGTTTGCACGAATGATTGAATATTGATTGAGAAGGAGCAAAGCCAAATTCAAAAACACGGCAGTTACCATTTGCCAATATATGAATGTATAGCGAGTGAGTAGTATTTCTGATGTTTGACTCCCTCATTCTCCTGGTCTCTCGACAGCTGTGGAAGTAACAGAACTTCAGAGTTTTTGACTCGGCGCTTTATTCGGTCTCAGTGGTTTTAGAGTCCATCCTCTCGAAGAGTCATCTGTGGTCCTTAGCAGGGGTTACCGCTTTTAGGGATTTCTTGGGAGTATAGCATGGCTCTGCCCCTTCCCGCTATTAGGAGTTGCGTTTAAATTAGCGGCCATAGTTCTTCCTAAGCTTTAGTTTCTTATCTTGTTTTATTTTTTCTTCCTTTGGCATAAGCCGGTCTCTGGCTGATTGCGTTGTGTAACAAAATTTTTTTTCTTCTAATATATTAATGTGCAATTCTTTTGTGTGTTCACGAAAAAAATGTAGCATTTCCAATCGAGACGGCTGCCAAAGAAAGCTACTCCTACGTTTTGTGTACAAAAGTACGGCGCAGATTAAACGGAAGGAGGCCGGGGAATTTTCAGTAGAAGACTGTAGCGAAGCTAGCTAGCTTAGCTAGGGCCGGGGGCCTGATCCTTTTCTGGAACAATGAAAGGCTACAATATTCCAAAGCTGCGAGCGTAGTACGTGCTAGCTGGCTTTTGGCTCTGCCGTTTTTTTTTCCTTCGTCCAGCTGCTGCCGCTGCTGCTTTTGGGTGTGTGCGGCATCCGCGGGAAAGGAGAGATCCTAACCGCAAGATGGCGATGGGTTGCCTCGTCGGATCGCGGCAGTGGCAGGCAAGAGTAGCCCCGTTTTTACTGTAGCGCGCGGATGCAGATGGCGATGTTGCTCGCTCGGTGCGCTGTGTCCTGTCCTCGATCCCTTCTTCCTTTGCTTTGCAGAGTCAAGCCCCCGAAGCTTAGATAGTTTGTGGATAGAATGTGATGAATCTGCTCGTGGGCCGTACAAGCGTTCGTAGTCCAACGGTTAGGATAATTGCCTTCCAAGCAATAGACCCGGGTTCGACTCCCGGCGAACGCATTTCTTTTGCGAGCGAGTTCAGAGAGTGATTTCAGTGGTCAACTACTGAATTTTTTTGACTCTTTTCAGACGAACCCAAACTACCAGCTAGTACAAGTTATGAACACATGTTAAAAAAGTGGGCCGGTCTTTGTGTTTTTGCTGCTGGTATGGGCCAATAACATGGGCCTATCCGATAACACCTTTTGTTGTGGGCAGAAGGGAAGACCCGGAGGAGGGGCCAGAAGGGAAAAAAAGTTCACTTCAGGTCCCTTATCTAAGGGTCGAGTTCATTTGGCTCGTGTTCATCTAAAACCAGATACAACGTGCCTCTCACCTTTCAAAATCAGTCCAAATATAGTCCTAAGATGGTTTGGACGGTAGTTTCGACTGATACGATGTCACTATTTTTATTTTATTTTTGATAGTTATGCCATGTAAGCGTCATATAGATGCTATGTTGTCCGATGAAAACCAAATCAATATGTCATGTGGATGCCACGTCAGCTACCAAATCAGCACGTCATGTGGACGTCACATCAGCTAAAAACACCATTCATATCATCTTGGAACTATATTTGTATTAGTTTTAAAAGATAAGGGACGTGTTGTATTGGTTTTACAGTTAATGAACACGATATAAACTCGATCCTTACTCGAGGAACATATAGTGAACTTTTTTCAAGAAGGGAACGCGTGCTAGTTTTGTTGAACTTGTAATTGGACCTGCTCGAGCATGTCCGTGGTCTTTTGCTCCATCAATATAAAATGGAATAACATTTTCAAGCTTTGGTGACTCAACACAAGTATTCATTTTTTAGATAATGACACAAGTATTCATATCATCTTCTTTTCTTTCCCATAGAGTATAAAGTTATCCCATCAGTTTCACTACAAGCAAGACACACATGTAAATACACCATTACACATAACAAATACACCCATTAATACATACTCAGATAGAATGTCTACCACATTGAAATCCGTAGCACTAGAGTAATGTTAAAGTATGATCATTACCATCATATATGATAACATGGGCCTATCCGAATTATGTCTTCTTTTTCATTCATGCATTCTCCCTTAGTCATTTTCTCTATCTAGAAGTCGAATAGTCGAATAGAATAACCCGATTGAAAGGTATAATGGTTATACGTCTATAATGCATTGTATGTATGTCATTCATTCTTTCCAAATAAATGAACACCTTTTCTGTAAATACAGTGTATTAGATTTCATTATCATATATGATAAGGCTATATTGGTATTTATTTATTGTATTATATCTTTATCTTCTAAATATAAAGAACAGAGAGATTTCAATTTTCTAAGTCGCGTGATCATATCAAAGATATATTTAAATGTCTCACTTAACACACTCGTGAAAAGACCGAGATTAACGGTCACTAAACTCCTATCAAAAACACATTTGCGTGTATGTGATATTTATGGGTACTAAGATTTGAAATCTGATGGGTGGAGTTATACCTATGACTTCAGTTTGCCACCACTAAACTACCAATGCTTCCCAAGTTATTTAAATTTCTATTTTATTCAAATGGACAACTGACACAATCTAAGAATAAATAAGGACCTCACTCAAGGCTAGGTTCGATATGAGGGAAATCACACTCAAGACTTTTAGAGGTTTCTCGTCAAACTCACGATGAATTTCATGAACATTGCGGCATTACCAAACATTGATTACATAGATAACATAGTGCCATGAGTTTCGCTTAACCAATGGATAATAAACTATGAACTGTTTACCAAAAAGAAGTAAATCCACATATATGGAAACTAAATCGTAATCAAATCTGCTCCATTAAAACATGCCGACGGATTTGAGCTATATTGGATAGACATGGATTAATCATGAGATTCTTTTTTCGTATACCAAATGCTTCCGACTTTCTATTTGCATTCGTTTGGATAATGACAAGTTGAGTATATCTAAGAACAAATTAACCTCACTTAATGGTAGGCTTCATATGAACAAAATCGGACCAGAATAACCCGCCTTATGAAACATGATGAGTTTCACACAGCTTGTGGGTATAATAGAAATAGATGCCCTATTTTTATGTTTGAATATATATATATATATATATATATATATATATATATATATATATATATATAATGGGCACCATCTAAGAAACAACATTATCTCGTTGAGAGCAATAGGATTACTAGTGTAAGTCTAAATTGTGTATGGATATCTCTGATCAAAATAAACATAAGAACTTTTGGTTATACGTAATGTTTAGGAGTAATTAACTTTATAATTTATAAGTTGATTTGTATCTGGATGAAAAGAATACAAGAAGTACTGCAATCCTGGCACTCTGTTGGTGACTTTGGTTCATGCGGCATATGGGCTGAAATTTCAGAAGGCATCCATCCCCATGATAATTTTCGTATACCAAATGCTTCCGACTTTCTATTTGCATTCGTTTGGATAATGACAAGTTGAGTATATCTAAGAACAAATTAACCTCACTTAATGGTAGGCTTCATATGAACAAAATCGGACCAGAATAACCCGCCTTATGAAACATGATGAGTTTCACACAGCTTGTGGGTATAATAGAAATAGATGCCCTATTTTTATGTTTGAATATATATATATATATATATATATATATATATATATATATATATATATATAATGGGCACCATCTAAGAAACAACATTATCTCGTTGAGAGCAATAGGATTACTAGTGTAAGTCTAAATTGTGTATGGATATCTCTGATCAAAATAAACATAAGAACTTTTGGTTATACGTAATGTTTAGGAGTAATTAACTTTATAATTTATAAGTTGATTTGTATCTGGATGAAAAGAATACAAGAAGTACTGCAATCCTGGCACTCTGCTGGTGACTTTGGTTCATGCGGCATATGAGCTGAAATTTCAGAAGGCATCCATCCCCATGATAAAAGTCAGTAAAACCCAGGCCTTTCCACAGCCACACATAAAACCACAAAAGGCCGGCGAGGCGAACTCAACGGGTACGCAAAGCGAAGAGGAGAAAAATAATCTCCCCACTCCGCCGTCTTCCTCCTCCCTCCCCTCCCCTCCTCCGCTCGCCACCGCCCTCCGCCCCCCATGTGGCCGTCCTGGGTGAGGACGCGCTCCTCCAAGTCCAAGCCCGCCGCCGCCGCCGCCGACACCACCTCCACCGCGCTCGTCGCCGCCTCCAAGCGCTTAACCTTCTCGTCTCCCTCCCTCAAGGACCTCCAGTCCCTGCTCGTCCCGCCGCACGCCGCGCTGTCCTCCTCCTCCCCGTCGCCGCCGCGCGTCTTCCACCGCATCCGCGTCGCCGCGTGCGCGCTGCGCGTCCTCCGCAACCTCCAGTCCGCGGGGCAGCAGCAGCAGCCGCACGCGGCGGCCGCCATCTGGAGCGAGCCGGGCGGCGGCGAGGGGGCACGGGTGGTGCTCTACTACACCTCGCTCCGCGTCGTCCGCGGCACCTACGAGGACTGCCGCGCCGTGCGCGCCATCCTGCGGGGGCTCCGCGCCGCAGTCGACGAGCGGGACCTCTCCATGGACCCGGCCTTCCTCCCGGAGCTCGCCGCGCTCCTCCCCCACCGCCGCCACGTGGCCCTCCCCCAGGTGTTCGTCAACGGCCGCCACCTCGGCGGCGCCGAGGAGGTCCGCCGCCTCCACGAGTCCGGCGAGCTCCGCCGCATCGTCGCGGCCGCGAACCCCACCCCGGCCTCCTGCGGGCGCTGCGCCGGCGAGCGCTACGTGCTGTGCGGCAGCTGCGACGGGAGCCACAAGCGGTACAGCCACAAGGTCGGCGGCGGATTCCGCGCCTGCGCCATGTGCAACGAGAACGGCCTCGTCCGGTGCCCGGACTGCTGCCTCCCGCCCGCCTGATCCAGATCCAAGATCCGTGTGGCCATGGCTCCCCTCCAAACAACTCATCAACTCATTTCAACTTCAAACTTTCTTCTCATCAACCATGGGAGAGGGAGATCATCCATTCATCCGTGTGTCCGTGTTCTGTCAATTACTCTAGCATTAGTCATTTACTCATTAGTGATTAGTGAGTAGTAGAGTAACCTGTTACTCCTTAGTCAGTTACAGATGAGGCTGTGGAGTGGAGTTCAATTTAGCTGTCCTCCAGCCTTGGAATTACAACTTGATTTTAGAAGAGATTAATCTTTCAGTTTCTGCTCTTGGTTAATCATCAACCTTGCAGCCATTATTATATCATAGTTTTGATACCCCAGTTTATACTTTATACATCTGGTTATCTGACTCCGGATGTAGGAGTAATACTATATTTCAATTTTCAAGCCTTCTTAATAATTTCACAAGGCATGGGATCCCTGCCCTCCCCTGCATCCGGAGCCGGCGCCATTGGATATGGCACGCTCTACGCATGGATCCAAAGTGCGCCAGTGCAGAGGTGGCGTGAGGAGGAGCCCGCGTGCCCCGGTGCGTGTCAATTGCTCTATCACCGGCTTTGTTTAGACTTCATGTCATTTTGGCGTTACATCATCAACTTGTGCGATCTGCGTGCGAGACAGACTGCGACTGTTCGGTTCGGTAGCGTGTCGGCCAACCACGCTACGCCACGCCACGCGCGGAACCACGCGGCGGCATGCGCGGTGCGACGGGGCGCACGGTCAGAGCGAGTTGAGTTTTGGCTGGCCCCGGCCGTGGCCGCGCGCGCGTGCGTGCCGGGTAAAAAAATCGTTGGGAGTTGCTACGCGCGGTCGGTGGTATCGGCATCTCCGAGAGTCCGAGACCGACCGAGGCGAGAGAGATCGGCTGCTTTGCCTGTGTTGGGTTGGATCGCCACCGCCACGGCTCGATCCTGGATTTTCGGCAGGCTTCGGCAAGTTCGCAACCGAGCAGCGCGGTGGTGGTGAAAACGCTGGCGACTGATGAAGTGGTGAGTTGAGTGATGATGACTGGGGAGGAGCTAGGCGGAGGCGGTTTCTTCCGTTGATTATTGGAGTATTGATCACGTGAGAGAAAGCAGAGAGCACTGGCTGATTCTGCTGAATGACTAGTGTCCAGCTCTGCTCTTTTTCGCTTTTCCTGCCTGATGTCTCCCGATGTGGATCATCTCATCGTGCGATGGCATTGCTTGGCTAGATCCCGTTGGTATCAGGGCAGTAGCAGTGCAAGCACCTCGTATGCCACGTAGTATAGATACACAACGAATCCACACATCTCACAGTGCACGTTACTACATAAAATCCTCAAACCAACCACCAACCCATTCTCTCTCCCACTTTTCCCTTTCTCTCTCTCACATTCCTCTTTCTCTTCACAGGAGTGGAGTACGCGGTGGTGGTGGTTGCCGTCGTCGACACCTACGCGGCGTCGTCGTCGCCCGCGTGGTCGCCAACGACGTGGCGTCGTCATCACCCGCGGCAGCGTGCGCCGTCCCCGCTAGCCCGACTCTCCCTCTTCCCGGCACGCCGCTTGCCCCAACGCCGAGCGGCAGCAGCGTCCTTGGGGCCTGGTGAAGAAGCAGCGGTGGGAAGGCGGCGGCGGCAGCGTGGATCTGGAGCGTCCTCGCCTAGCCCTCCTCACCGACGACGGAGGTCCTCGAGACGGCGACGCTACTTCGTCCTCTGAAGGAGGCGGCGGAGGTCCTCGAGACAGTGACGCGGCGGCTCGGCCGACGACGGCAACCTCGGCGGTTGCCTCGTCGTCCTCCACGGATCTAGAGCAGTGGCGCGGCGTCCTCGGGCTTGTCTCCGGCCGGCGCGGTGTACATAGCAATCTCGAGCGGCACGGTGGCCGAGGCGGCGGCTTCCTCAGGGCCGAGCGGCAGTGGGAGCAAGATGCCGAGCGAGGGAACGACCTCCACAGCACAAGGAACGGCAACACGCGCCCTCGTTTTTGATGAGATAACTCGTCGTCCAGATGGGGGACAAGCAACCAAACAGAGCTCCATGCTCTAGTGCCACACACGCACAAATCCGAGCTAGCAACACGAGGTAACGCTCCACGTCCCGCACTGTGAAAGGCCTTAGGGCGACTCTCATATGAGGAGCCCCAGGTGCCACGTAGACTTAGGCTACGTATCTAAAATCTAAATTCTTCACAGTGTAAGTGACTCGAGAAGTGGCTTTAATTTTATATTTTAGTCCCTAGCACTTTTTGTTTTAGTTCTCATATTTTTTTTAATTTACGTGGAGGTCTAAAATTGACACACAACACCATAGGATCCAGAAAATAATATAAAATCCCCCTCCCCCTCTCTCCCTTATCCTAACGCCGCTCCCTCTCCTCTCCTATCCTCTCCTCACACCGGCGACCGGCAACCCGGCAGGCGCCACTCCTCCCCCAGCCAACGCTCCTCATCTCCTCCCCCGCCGGCGTATCTTCTTTCCCGGCCGGACATGGCCCCTCCTTCCCTCGTCGTCGGCGGAGGACCCCAAGGCGGGTCTCGGTGGCGGGCGCAGATCGACGCTAGCGTAGCCGGCGCGGATCGAGGGACGACGTGACCCAGGCATGGGGAGGCGGGCATCGGACATGGAGCGGGGCACCGGCGTCAGACTTGGAATGGGGCGGCGGGCGCCGGACGTGGAGCTGGGCGGCGGGTGCTGGACATGGAGCAGGCGGCGGGTGCTGGACATGGACGGGGATTTTGGTGGGGGGGGGGGGGGGGGGCTGGACATGGAGCGGGGCGCCAGCGTCGAACTTGGAACGAGGTGGTCGGCGCCGGACATGGAGCGGGACGAGGAGATCGTGGGTGAGTGCGCGCGCGGAGCAACGACAGAGAAGCCTCTCGCTCCACAGCGTGGCTGCGGCGCTCTCTCCCTGCCCCACGCACCCTCGATTTCACCGAAGAACTCGTGACCTTCTTTGGACGCGAGGACTTTAGGTTGGTGGGCCCAAACACGATGTGGCATAGATTCCTACTGCTTTGCCGATGTGGATCGATTGGGCTGAATGCCAACGCATTGCACTGTGAATGCTTGTTGCTAGTGTCCACTATGGCGGTACTATTGCAGTTGCATAATTTGCATTCCTCCGCTACGTGGCTATCATGTCCGCGAAGCTTGTTTACAAGGATAATCTAGTGCTCGATGTCTCTCATCACCTGACATAAAAAGAACAGTACATACTAGTTCGGATCCTGATTCGTGATGCCAATTTATTGCCCAACTTTGACTCTTTTCTTATAACTTTTACACTACACTCTTCTGATTTCACCCTTTAGAGTTGTTTCTCAAGTAGGGCAGCAAATCCGGCTGCAACCAACCCGCGGCTGCTTCCTTCATGCTCGCATAATGTTCGTGCTGGGTACAACGCTTATGCGACCAAACAACCCTTTTGTAGGCACAGTTTGCAAGAGCTGGTACTCAATCTCCTGCATTCGATTTCCCCTAAACGAGTTTATTTTGGTGTTAAATAATTGAGATAGAAATCCATGTTTTAGAGATAGCTCGTAGTCGCGTAGATAAGATCATGAGGAATATTGGTGTAATGCTCAATGTCATACGTTTGATTCTCCCCTGTCTGCTTAACCTTTATTCTCGATCATTGACATTAAACTCCTCTTTAGTGTCCTATGTCATGCTAAACACATCCCCTACCATTTTTATCTAGGGTGGGTCCAGTCCTCGAATACTTGGGCTATAGCTTAAGCATAGAGCCAAAAGTCCATGGGCTTAGAGCGTCTCTAACAGCCTCTCTAAATTGGACTCTCCAAACACACATATAGCCAGCTCTCTAATTGATTTGTCAAGCCAAACTCATTCCTCATTTCAATAGCCTCTCCATCTACACTCTTCATTATGAGCCTATGACACTGGGACCTACACGTTGTAAAATCAAAATGTTTTTGATTCTTATTCTGTGATGAACAATTGGCATCTGTGATTATTGGTTTTGATATTTGGAGATTATTGGCGAAGTGGTTTTGGAGATGATTGATTTTTCAGGTGATGAACAAGGTTACTGTTTTTGTCGGGTCTGGTCAGATCGGGCTGGTGCGGCCGGTCAGACCGGAGTTATTCGCGCGGTCAGACCGGCCAGCCCGCAGTCTGACCGGCCGACTCTATATCGGTTTTGGTTTCGGGTTGTTTTATTAGATATTCGTGATTGTTTCATGTTTATGGCTTCTAGATGGATATTATACGTATGTAATACTGTTGTTTGCTAACAATGAGTCAAGTTAGAGATAGCTTGGTCTCGGAATATGGTTTCTTTGTTTGATTCATGTGTAGGTGACTTGATGTCTCGGGAGAGTATTGCCGGTGATGGATCGGGAGTCGACTGGGGGATAAGGTGACGTCCGGACGGTCAGATATCATGCGGGATACTTAGGCTAGAGTTCAATGCACATGGTTGGTGAAGATTCCATATGGCATACGATGAAGATATTGTGTGTGTATGGGATGCGGAGTCGAATTTGGAAGGAGTCCAAATTTGGTATGATTGGAGTTTGTAAAGTTTGTTTCTTGTACGGGAAGGTTTCCTAGGTGGATTAGGACTTCTAGTATGAGTTTGGTTCGTGGCTTTAGGCTGCCTACCTTATGTATAAATAGAGAGGGAGCGTGAGGCTTCCCGATGTCGACGTTTGAGATCGCGACTACAGTATTTGGATGGTATGGGGATAGTTGGTACCAGGGTATATGCGAGATTAAGGTAAAAGAAATGGAGACAGGGATTTTTATACTGGTTTGGACCCCTTATCTGACAGGTAATATCCCTACATCCTGTTGGCCGAAGCCGGTGTTGCTCTTTATTCATCTGGATCACACAAGTACAATATTTGGGATAACCTATCTAGCTATCGTCGACTTGGCAGCTAGATAACTAACTCGTAGTCGACGACAGGGCAGTCTTCCTCCTCGAATATGAACCCGTCGAGATCAGAGATGGCGCTAGATTCCTCTTGCCGGTCTCCGTAGACACCGGATGGGGTAGGTCTAGACTCTAATGTCGATATCTGGCGGCGTATTGGCTTGGGTGTATGTTGTGTCTTGTGGCTCGTCCCCTCTCCTCCCAGGGGGCTTGTATTTATACCCATAGGTGTCTCCTTGTCCAAATAAAACTAGGGAGACCAATATGGATATAATCCGAGTAGTACTTGTTGTTTCCATATAGAACTCTATTTATTCTTCCTTATCCAGAACTCCTTTTATATACGAGGTTTGTGTCAGGGTTATGGATACCACATACCTAATATTAGTTGACTAAACTCGGCAGGGCCCACCACATACCAAGTCTTATACAGAATCATACCTCGTATATAGGAGTTCCGGATAAGGAAGGACAAGTAGAGTTCTATATGGAAACGATAAGGACTACTCAGATTGTATCCATTTGGTCTCCCTAGTCTTACTTGGACAAGGGAGCACCTATGGGTATAAATACAAGCCCCTAGGAGGAGAGGGGACACACCCACCATAGACACACAATACACAAGCCAATATATGCCAAGACAAGCCGCCGGATATCAACATCAGAGATTAGCCTAGACATACCCCATCCGGTGCCTACGGAAGCCGGCAAAAGGGATCTAGCGCCATCTCTGATCTCGCCGAGTACGGATTCGTCGAGGAAGACTCCCCTGTCGTCGACTACGAGTTGGTTATCTAGCCTCCAAGTCGACAACAGTTAGATAGGTTATCCCAAATATTGTATTTGTGTGATCCAGATGAATAAAGAACAACACCGGCTTCGGCCAACATGATATAAGGCTATTACCTGTAAGATAAGGGGCCCAAACCTGTATAAAAATCCCTGTCTCCATCTCTTTTACCTCAATCTCGCATATACCCTGGTACCAACGATCCCCATACCATCCAAATACCGTAGTCGTAATATCAAATGTCGACAGTTTATTTCCGTATAAGACATGGCATGTGGTGGGCCCCGCCGAGTTTAGTCGATTACTATTGGGTATGTGGTATCCATAACCCTGACACCTGGTAACGTTTTTGAGAGCATTGAGTTGTGAGTTTAGTTAGGGTTTCGAGTTTAGTCGAGATTTTCATTAGGAGTGCTATTGTTGCACTTTGTAAACACAGAGAGAAGTAATAAAGTTGTCATCTACTTTGAGAGTTCTTCGATTTGTGTTTTCTCGGGTTCGGCAGTCTAACCGGCGAAACACCCGCGGTCAGACTGGCGGCATTGTGGCAGTCAGGCTGGCGGCATACATGCGGTCAGACCGGCGGTGACTACAGGCGACATCGGTTGATCTCGGCGGTTCAACCGAAGGTTCAATCTCGGTCAGACCGGTGGTATCCAGGCGGTTAGACCGGTGCGACTACTTCGGTCAGACCGTGATCCGTCGAATTTGAGGGTAACTTTTAATTCCGCAAATAGTTTGGGTTTTTGGGTATACCAACCATTCACCCCCTATGGTTGGCTTAATTCTTGTGTTTCGATCCTACACACGTCAGCCTCTACTACATCTTCTTCCTCCTCTTTCTCTCCCTCTTCCTCTTCTCTCCCTTCTTCCTCTTCTCTCGTTCATCTTCCCACGTGATGACGACCACGTAGAGGCTGGCGACGGCGGCGGCTTCTCTCTACGACAACCCGTGGAGCTGAGGCAGAGGGGGCAACACTGGATGGCGGGGATGGAGATAGCAGCGCCAGAAGGTCGGGGGGCGGGGGCAGATGCGGCGGCTTGGGAAGGGGAGAGGAGCGACGCTGATGATGGGAGGGCTGCGGGTGGCCGCGTCGGATGCGGTCGGGGATGGAGGCGGCGGTGCCGGATGCAGCCAGGGGCGGAGGCGACGGCGCCGGATGTGGCGGCTCGCCGAGGGAGCCGGATGAGGGAGAGGGAGAGGGCATGGGGCCCACCGTTGGCCAGCGGTTGTGGCTTGCTAGATTTGGCCAGTTGCTAGCAGGGTTTGGCCAGCGGGATGGCTTGGCCGGCCGGTTGAAGATGTTGTTGGAGGACATTTTTTTTATGTGTTGGCTATAATTTAACTTGGAGAGTCATTTGGCCACTCTCTTGGGATGCTCTTAGATAACTTCTCATCACGAATGGGTCTAGTTTGAGACTTAATAGTATAGGCTGGCTTGAGCCTTAGCTTAACTCTTGTTGAAATTAATAGATGGGCTAAGGCCCATTCGAAGATTAATTCTTTGGAAAATCACAAAAGCCCACCTCATGGGATGGCATGCATGTGGAGTTTAGTACCACCTTGCTTATTCTACGAGAGGGGGACCTCCTTAAAAGGGAGGATGCCCTCCTAGCCACTTGAAGCATGTGTGGTGGAGAGAAGAGGGGGAACACGTGCGCGCTCGCTGGCCGGGCCGGGCAGGCGGCGCGCGTGCACAACGTACGCGTCGAATGGTCCGCAAAATTGGCTCCTCACCCTTGCGCAGATGCAGCCTCCTTTTGCAGTTTTGTTTTGCTGCAGGAAAATTCGGATTTGTTTTGTTGTTGGAAACATTCCGAAAAATCCGGTGCGTGAAAACGGTGTGGAGTCCGGATAAGTAACGCGCGACTTATCCTGCTTGGTTACGTAGAGTGGAGATCGTGCGGGCGCCCTGATCAAGCGACCTATCTCTATATAAACCGTGCCGCCGCATTCACGCAACACACGCGAAATTAATCTAGGGTTTGCCTCCTCCTCTGTGTTGCGCCGTCGCTCGTAGACTACTCCATCCCGCTCGCCAGTGTGCATCGGCGATCGGGAGAGCAGGTCTCCGGAACCTCTGCCTTCGACGTCCTGCACCAGGAGAAGGCGACAAGAAGGTTTTTGGGAAGCGCTTTGCACGACTGCTCCCTGTTCGTCCGTGACGGCTCGCCTTCCTCTTCGCTCGCGTGCTGCGCGCCTTCGTCGACGCTCGCAACTGCTACTAGTTCCTGCCGAGCAACCGGTCTTTCCGCCACCTCGGTACGTGTTTGACATGTTGCGCATATTTGATCTGTTCATGTTTTACTGCTTAGTTTACATGTGTAGATCTAATGATGCGTTAATGCTAGTATACATCTATAATGTCATGATTTATTTATGGAATATATTAAATCATTATATGCCTATATTCTCAACAATCCAAAAACCTTATTATAGGCGCTGTGATTTTACTATGGCTGGTTTTGCCGATGCACTGAGGCCGGATAAATTTACCGGTGTGCACTTTAAGAGATGGCAGATCAGGGTCACTCTGTGGC